GGAAGCGACATTGTCAGCGTCTGGCTTCGGTTCCCGAACCTTACAGCTCTCTGCTTTAGGCTGCTGATCAGCTCAATTGCCGATTCCTCAGCTGTGCTGCTGGCGGCACGAGCGGCCGAGAAAGAACATGTCAGCCCACGTCCAGCAACATGTCAACTGGGCGTAGATCCGGTTCGGTCCCTCTTGAACATGCCCGGATCGCCGCGGTTGACACGACCTCGTGCAGAAACGAGCCGACTCAAAACAAAACAGGTTTATCTAGGCGTTGGGCCCGTTTTGGGCACCCTAACGCATTTTGCTACCTTGTGTCACTACAATATACCCTCCCCAAGGTCCTACAAAGCAGAAAACTTGAGGCGCACCGCGTTGACTTCCAGTTTGTTCGTTTCCATGTCACTGAGGACCTGTAACGCCTGACGCAGAATACGGAAACAAGCCACGGGAACCCACCTTCAGGTCGTGATTTGTCGCGCCTGCGCCCAGCACCCCTTGTCGAGACTTCTGATGGCAGTGTCGCCTGTCTTTGAACAGCTTGCGCTGCATGTGCGCATGCGAACGCACGTGTAAGGACGCGACAAACTCTTGCTTCTGGGTAGATGTGAGCTTGTGCCATCTCGTCCAGGAGAAGCAGGCACGTCCTCAGCGCCATCGCGCGGAATGACGATAAGGGCTCCACCATATGTATCCCTGAGCTCATGATGAGAACGCGGCGACCAAGCCTGAAGCAAGAAAAAGAACTGAGAGAGCACTTGCACAGCTCGTTTCAACGGTTGCACGAAGCAGCTCGACGATGCTTATCGGTCATCTGTGAGCTCGCCTTGCAACGTGAACAGATGCTGACGAGCTTGTTGAAGAAGAACTCATCTGCTTGCACACCTTGCTTGCAGCGGCGGCAAAGGTGACGTGCAGGTCTCTGACTGCACTTCAATTGAAATGGCCTTGGGTGGCTACCAAAGACTCCACTGTCAAAGAAGGTCACTAGGGCCAAAGGCCCAGCCGTAGTCCAACATAGTCCAACAGACCCCCCGAAGTCGCCAAACCCGTCTCAAGCTCACCAGCTACCGCAGCTGCCAGTGGCAGGCTCTTTCCTTTCCCTTCCCCAGGCTTAGTGGGGTCTAAGAAGCAGGAACGAGTCTGAAACGACAAAATGGTGAGTTCTCAAAATTATGGCCCCTTGTTGGGTACGCTAAATAAGAGAGGCCGCCTTATGATAAGGACCCCAAAAGGGACCCTTATTTGGGGGTTTCCGAAAATAGGGGGTACCTCATTGGGGTCCTTCTTCTACGGGAATCCTACTATTTGGGGCTCTATTATAGGGGTCCCTTACTTTCGTAAACTCCCAGTCAGAGAAATCACCAAACTGCAGTCGCTTCGTCGCTTGCATCCCGGGAGCAGGCTATTGGCATCTCCTCCCAGTCTAAAGAGGCCTAAGGAGGTCAGTTCTCTAAAACCTGGTCCCTTTTGGGGATACTATGTATAAAACCAAAAAGGAACCAGACTTCAGAGAACTGACCAAGTCTAAGAAGTCTATAAGGGTCTATCCTTCGGTTCATCTCCGTTCGCAAGCATCGCTACGTAGGACGTTGCCGTGCCTTCACCAAGCATCTCGCCCGTTCAAGCGCCAGGGATCCTGTTTGCATCGCGGACTTGATCGCCATCGCCCGTTCATCACACCTGAGAACTGTCACCTCATCATCGTTCCCAAGCGCCTCGCCCAAGATTTCATGCACGGAAAGCTGACGGTCGCGGCACATGAGCCGCTGCTCACGTACAGGAATGCCGGCGCACTTGGCGATCACCTTCTGGGCCTTGGCCACTGTGGCCGCCATGTCGACCGAGATGGTGCACAGCAGGCCGCTAAGGCCAAGGATTCGCAGGGATCCCATGACCGGCTCGATGGGATCAGCTCCAGAGACCATTGGGGCTTGCGACATAGCGGCGCAGCGCGGAAGAAGAGGGGATTGAGGGCCTCCCGAGCCGCCCCCTGCGGATGGAAAGCAAGCCCGCGGTAAAGAGGAGAACCGGTCCTGTCAAGTGCTTCCCCCCCCCCGGAGCACATGGACTTCTTCGCACGAAGCATGAGGACGGCAGTAATATGATACGAGTAACTGAAGTTAAGAGCAAGAACCGGCCCAGCCATCCATGTTTCAATTTGTTGGCTGCAGCTGCACTTTGCCTGCAACTCATGTTCGATCTCAACGGATCAGGATTGGGCGCATTAAGAGTTGAACCTTTGCGCAGTAGACTACGAAGAGACAACTCAAAATCTGGTTGGTGTGGCATTTCTTGGAGATCCACATGTTGAGACTGCTGCACATCAGCAGCTTCAACTAGTGTCGCGGGATGAACCAGCAGCAGGTGCTCTGCTTATGAGGACGAAGCATGGTGGCATCATGGTGAGTACGACCCTTTGCCATTCAATGTGTGACAATGCTGTCCTGTTCATGCTGAAGTTAGGCATCTGAACAATGGACAGTCGAGAGTCCTCTTTGCGTTTGGTTGATGCATTCGAGTCTGCATCAGACTTAGCGTTTGCCAAAAGGAGAGAAAACGACAGCAACTAGAGGGACGGCTGATGCTCGAAGGCCAGCTTGCACGGTAAGTTCGACACTTCTGGAGGTCATCTGCTCCAACCTCGGTGCCAGGCTTCCGGCAGAAAGTGACAAGAACCCCTAAACCCTAAACCCTGAACCCTGAACCCTGAACCCTAAACCCTAAACCCTAAACCCACCACGCCACAGTCTAAGGCATGAACATGCCAATCGCCTCTCGCCATTGCAGACGCTCGCCTCTCAAGGCTTCTACTATCTTCTACTGCAGCGAGCTGCTGCATGCTCGAGCTCTAGGGTCATCGCCGAAGTTGCCCAAAGTTGGCATGAAGCTCCTTAGGCAAGCCCCCCAGTGTGGCTAGCTCATCGCGCTGTATCCGCTAAGGCCCACGCGCTGATGACACCCCAGGTGTGTCAAACCTCGCTTTGTTCCCGAAACCCATCCCTTAGAGGTTGGGTCTATCAAAGAAGTGCCCATCGGAGGGGAGGCGGGTCGGATGAATGGCAACGGGCGGCTCGGATGAATGGCAACGGGGAGGTGAGTGAGATTGGATGGACCATCGGTCGACCGGGGTATTCAGGTCAACGGAGGCGAGATCGGCTGGACCGTCGGGCGGCGGGCGGGTGAGGAACGAAGGGCGGTGAGGCGAGCAAGATCGGGCGAGTGAGCAACGAAAAGGCACCGAGGGGGTGCGCGAGATCGGAATCGATGGGCGAGTGATGAAGGGCAGCGTGGAGGTGAGCGAGTCGTGTGGGCGGGGCGGGTGACAACGCATCCGATCGCCTGCCTGTCGACAGATGGGATGGATGATGGTCGACAGGTGAGGCGCGAGTGACGTTTGCGAGTGATGTGAGAAGGGTGTACGGGTGCTGGGTGGGCAACGGGGAGCGATGCCGGATATCGTGCTGATGACCGGTGGAAGATGGGTCGACGGGTTGCTTCGCGAATGTTGCTCTGGGGTCTTGGGCTTTCAAGTTCCTGGTTTGACCGTGTCTTCTCAGCTACATAAGGCCCCTGTTTTCAGGATTCCCAGTATGATAGCCCCTCGTAGTACCGGCACTGTACCCCAAAAAAGCCACAGAGGGAGCCTTCACTAAGGAACTTACTTCTTCCACCTGGTTCTTAGTAGGGAATGAGGGAATTAGGGCTCTTTATTTTTTTATTTATTCATCTATGTATTTATTTAATTTGTTTCTATTTTATTTGTTTATATATATATATATATATATATATATATATATTCACATACATAGACATAGACACATACACACATACACAATACACACATACACACATACATACATACATACATACATACATACATACATACATACATACATACATACATACATACATACATACATACATACATACATACATAAATACATACATACATGCCCTTTAAGAGACTAGGGTTTCGGGCTTAGGGACCCTGAACCCTAAACCCTTAAAGTATATATATATATATGCATATACATATATATATATATATACATATATACATATATACACATATATTGTATCTCCTTCCCTCATTCCCCACTTCCCCACTGGGCTGCTGGGAAGCGGGCACGTCTGAGATCTTCGGCGGACGTCTGGGCCCGACCTCTCAGGTGCGTCCGCGAGGCGAGACTTCAGCCAAGAAGGGTTTAGGGTTTAGGGTTTAGGGTTTCGGGTTTCGGATTTGGGGTGATTCCTTGGACTGGAAATCCACTCAAAGTCACTCGACATCTAGATGGCATTCGACCGCCTGGCTCGTTCTGGATCTCGAGGTCCTTCTGGATGCAACGGCCTCATTCGGACGAACTTCAATGCAAGGATTTCACCATCGGTCGCCCGAGTTTGGATGAAACTGGGCAGAGCCGAGCGGGAACAGTGTTGTTCGGGATGGTTGTGTTTCGCAGATTTGGGGCCCAACTGCCCAACTTTGTGGGGGCCTGGGGCCTAAGCTCCTTCAATCGCTGGGCACCACCCCACAATTACAAGCAGATTGACACCGGGATGCCAACAACTGCAGGCTGGGACATCACCTTCAGTAGAACGCGACCCGTGAACTCTCGGTCCACAGCGCTACACCACCTTGCATGCAGTGGGAAGCTGTGCCGCCGGCCGCGCGTTGCCCCACTGGGTTCATGTTGCCTTTCGAAGCGCCTTTCGACAGCCATATGTGGACACGACATCTCACATCTCAAGACCGAAGTGCTCACCACGGGGCAAGAAGTCTGACAGCTATGCATGTGGAGTTTACTTTTCATCGCAGCCAGTCATGCCTACTCCATGTCAGTCGAAAACTGGGAAGTGCCCAAATATGCCCACGGTGACCCAAAGAGGGGAACACAGTCGGACACCCCCCATGTTGGTCGAAGCGCCACGAAGTCAGCGTACAACTTGCCAGAAGCCGATGCCACATGGATGACAAGTTCAGGCCAGATTGAGAAGCTTACAGCATCTTACAAGGGCGACGTGATGTGCTTCAGATGCGGCATGTCGTAGAGGCCGTTGCAGAAGTGGTTCACCTGGAGGTTCACCAGCACACCCCACCAGCCAGCCACGTTGTTGCCAGCCGCCTCGTGGTAATTGAACACAACAGCCATCTCCTGCGAAGACAGCGCTGCGTCGCCCGATGCCTTTGGGGGAAGACAGGAGCTCAAAACAAACGCCCGGAACTCCTTCTCCGAAAAGTGCTGAGGCAGATGATGCCCCCCGAAGGAGCTGGCTTCACTTTGCAGGGCCCAAAGACCCGAGTGCCACTTCAAGTGGAAGCAGGTCGCGAAGGCCCGCAGGGGCTTCAGGATGGGCAGACGCCTCTCAAAGCTCCGATGAAGATCTTTGAATCAAGCCACCAGAATGGGACAAAACAGGAACCCACCCCCTCTAATAATTAGAAACGAATATGAATCAACCCCAAAATCAAAAAAGAACCGCATCTTCTTCCCTTAATGGACTCGCACTGCCAAAAAGGGTCAACTGCTGATCCCCGTGTCCGCCTCAAACCCCCTCTTCCCCTCCGGTCGAAAAAAGGAAAACAGCTCCCACAAAAAGCACAACGACAACAAAGTTTAGACTACAAACAAGATTACTTTACTTCGAACATCCCCACCTTGCTCCTCGTTAAACGGAAAGAGCGCAAATAAGATGTTCAAACAAAGACACATTGTGACTCAAATACGCTTTCTTAGTATGTGCTTGCAACTGGAGTTGGCTCCGTTGGGCACTCCAGGGAGTCTCTGGGGTTGGGCACGGAACAAACAAGGAAAAACAAGGCCGGGTGCGCCCGTGCGTCTTGAAGGGCATCAGGTCGAAGGCCTCGCGGCCGAGCTTCCGCCGGAGCACGTGGTACCAATGCCGCGCGCTCCGCCCACACTCGCGCAGGTGAACTGGCTGAAACTTTGCTTCCCCCTGGATGGGCACCCGAGGACGGTCTGCGCCAAAGCATGAGCGAGTTATGTTGCAAGGGCTGAGAAGCTCATCTATGCCGTAGGCGTGGTGATGCGAACTGGGGGTACGGATGAAGGCTTTGTACGCCACAACTTTGCGCACATCCGACTGCCTCCAGTTCGCTGTCACACTGCAGAGGAGAGGGAATTGGTCCATGATGCCGTCTGCCACAGAGGTGGGGCGGACAACCCTTAAGCGCGCATCAGAGGCTAGTCGGTCCACGAGAAAACCGTTCACGACATTGACGCCTGCTTTGTTCAGGGCGTTGAAGTATGCATGTGCATCAAAGGTGCTGTTTTGGACCATGCCCGCGAGTGGTGGGAAGGCATGGAACTCGTCCACGTCTGCCTTGATGATCCAGTCTTCATCTCGGGTGTGCTCACGGAGCAGCGACCATCCAAACAGCTCCAGATCCCGATTGCTTGTGCTTCTGCCAGTGAACACAAGACGCAGGTGCCGAATGCCGAAGTCTCGTCTGAGGTGGTCTGCGAACTTCTTTCCAGACAGCCTGCCATGCCGCTGGTTGACTTGCAACAATCCCAGAAAGTTCGATGCAGGGATGCTCATCTTCAGATAGTGAACCAGAAAGGCTGTAAGCAACGCCTTTTGAGAGCTTGTGTCGTCCGCATAGAGCACCGGGCTATAATACAAGTGAAAATATAGCCACAAGCAACTGCCATCCGCCAAACGAGACTCACAGCGCAGGCCAGCACTCCCATGGACGCATGCAAGGGCAACCCATAGCCGCACATACGGAGCCATGCTTGGGTGTAGGACTTAGGGCCTTAGGCCTTAGGGTTCACAAGGAACAAGAGGAGAGAGGCCAGGAGGAATGGCCACTCCCTCCTATGATCCATGGTCAAGCACTGAACATGTGGCCCCGGAACTCTTGCGAAGGCCTTCTCTGTTGCCACGCAAGTGTAGCAGACGAAGCATGACCGACTGACCTGCGCAGACAGGCATCGGAGCTTTAGATAGTATCAGGCAGAGGGCTTGGATGCAGCAGCACCACGACTGTTGGGGAGTGCAGTGCGCAAGGCCCTTTGTCCACCCATGCTTCACACGTGAGTTCGGCTTGTTGTACTTGCGCAGTAGGCATTAGTTAGTAGGGATTCTACAACACCCTCGGCACTAGAAGTAGTGGCTTGGAGCCGCGAGCAAAGAACCCTTCCTTGGATCATCACGTGCGACTACGTGTACGCCTTTAAGGACCACCTTTAAGCACCACCGTCCCTAAGGGTCCATGTACCTATAGGGCATATACTGGGGCCCTAGAGCTACTATATAGGAACCCCTTTAAGGCCCAAGTATCTACCAAAGAGGGTTTAGGGTTTTGGGTTTAGAGTTTAGCGTTTAGGGTCCAGTGGGGTGTCTGCAACGGAAGACCGGAAGACCTAAGAGCTTCTTTACAATGCACTCAAGCCAGCCTTGGGAACTTGTGGCATGCTCTTGGCAGCCATCACACTGCCTCAATGAGGGTTTAGGGTTTAGGGTTTCGGGTTTAGGGTTTAGGGTTTAGGGGCTCAGTATGCCTCACCGAGCAAAGCAGAAGGAGGAGTCCTAGCTTCTTGAGGCCCCAGCGCCAGGGGTCGTTTGTTTTCGCTGGCGGTTGGCTGATATGAGTCACTGGACGCGGCTTGTCAGGTACTGATGAGAGCGCCCTCTCCGGCGATCTTGGTGTAAGTCCAGAGTCCGCACCAGGATCCTCAGCACTGCGTGGATCCCAAGAGTTGTAGGGAATCAGCCGAAAGCCTTATGCCCAAACACAGCATTGCGTTGACTGCTGGCAGAGGTTAGTCATGTTAGTAACTCTAGGCGACCGAGGGTCGTCACAACATAGAAGGCCGCCCATAGCGTGACGAAACGTGAAGATTTCGACTTCAAGCTAAAAATGGCCCCGACACCAAGGCGAACACAAACGTCTTGAGATATCCAGCACAGGCGTGCGAATGGCACAAGATTCAGGGAACGCAGGTCATGAAACACCTTGTGCTTCTGCTTTTTCCGGCCCGAACGCGCTCTCTTTTTCTAGAGACTCTAGACGCAGACTTGGCGAGGGACATCTGAATGCCACCTTTCCAAGGCTAACATGAGAAGCGACGCGAACACTTTCACTGGTTGCATAATGTCACGGATGCTTTCCCATCGCACTTTGCCAACATTTCTGTCTGGCCTGCTGCTGAAGCGCCCTGGCCCAGCTGGCGCAAACATGGGCGTGTCCACCTTAAGTAGGAAAGAGCACATGCAAAGGGCTGGAAGAAGGCTTTCGCACACAGAAGAGTCCCAAGAGTGTTCTTGTGCCTAGCTGGTTCGTGCAAAAACTCTGCCAGACACAAGGTCCAGTTGCACCTCCTAGCTGGATGGCCATTGAACCTTCATTTTTAGTCCAGCTTGTGTCGTCCGGTGGCATGCAGCCAATGCAAGCCATCTCCTCGCTGGGTGCTTTCTGCGCATGCGGCATCTGCACAGCACTTGACACCCCATGAGTATGCACTTTGTGGCAGACTTCTGCTGCTCCGATGGGCATGTTAAGTGCCATGCTGAGGCTGCTAAACAGCTCAATATGGCTAGCCTATGCCTATGTACATGTAGCTGCATCCCATTTGGAGCTGCTACGACACACTCCGAAGTTAAAAGCCTACTCCAACAACCAATTGTGTGGCCTCAATCACGGAATCGCTTGGTGCGCTTGCCCTTACGAGGCTTCTGCCGTGAAAGTGTCTTGCCGATCTGTTTTTCAGATCTGGCTCCGGTTTTCTTCTTGCCTGAGTCTGCAGACTTCGAGGCCTTTGAGGCCTTTGAGGCCTTTGAGGCCTTTGCAACGGAGCGGCTGGGCCGGCGCCGCTTTTTCGAAGAGCTTTCATCCAAGTCTCCAACCCAGGTGACGGTGCCAACTCCCTTGACAGAGTTCTCGCGAAAGACGAGGGCGGAACCCGGTTCCACGATCTCTGGCCAGTGAGCCCAGCGGAACAAAATTTCTGCTGAGTCACCGGCTCTGAGCATGGAGATGGGCTGCCCATGTGCATCACTCATGGCGACCACTCGCGCCGTTTGCCGCGTCATGCCAACATGTAGGACCGGCTCATACCTCACCCTGATCGAGCTGGGGTGCTGAAGCACGGTGACGCTTGCCTTGAGCCAGCCCGACGGCGCCAGCTTCGATGTCGAGCCAAGCAAGAGCTTCGATCGGCTTAGAACCCGCGGTGTCAGAACATCCCGAGTCTTGGCAGAGGCCTTGAGAGCGAAGGTCCCGCTGGAACCGGCTCTCAGCTGCTCCACGGGGTGGTCTTGCACACGGATGGAGGAGACCCTCAGACTCAGAAACCCATCCCTGACCAGATCTCCAGCTGAGTCTACGACAGGACCCAGCCTGACCCCGTCGTTGGGCCTTAGAATCCCACGTAAGACCCTCCCTGAAACCACAAGCCCAACGCCAGGAACTTGTGGGAAGACTTCATCAATCTGCACCTGCACGGCCTGAGACCCATCAGACACCGGCGTACCTCCAACTGTTGGGCTTGGTAGCGATTGCGGCAAGCGCCTTGGGGAGAGCAGGTTCAGCAAGAGCTTCAGCTCTGGAACCATCGCGCCAGTCACCGCAGAGCACAGGAAGATGGGCGTGAAGCCCTGCAGAAGGCGCTCTGCTGCCAGGACCACGTCGTTGGAGTCTTTGACCACAAAGGTCGCTGTGCCCATCTGCTTCATGAACTTCTTCACGTCCTCGAGGGCAGACTTCCTCTGTTGCTCACCTGCCACATCACACTTCGTGAGGCAGATTACCGTGGGGATCGCCAGGGCGTTTGCAACCGCCAAATGCTCGTGGACCATTCCACGCAGCTCGCCGCGGTTTGCATCAACCGTGCACAGCAAGTAGTCGGGCGCCAAGCCCAGCATGCCCTGCAGCGTGGTCTTGAAGTAGCGCTCGTGCCCACAGAGGTCGCAGAAGGTAATGAGCTTCGAAGCTTTCTCGGCGATGCGTGCCTGCGCCTCAACGCGGCCAGCGTTGTGTTGGGGCGCCTCGCTGCGGAACAAGCCGTTCTGGTCCTCCTTGTAGTTCACAACCCGGCCGGCCTGGTCGAAGCCCAGCGTCATCGTGGAGACACACGATGTCCGCCCAGTTTCAAGTTCATGGCGATGTCGAAACACAGACGAGCGAGCGCGCCCTCGCCCATCATCCTGCAAGCCCTGTGTGAGAAGGCCCAGCAGCGTGGACTTTCCCGAGTCCACGTTTCCCACTGTGCAGATCCTCACTTCGCCACCTTGGCCAAGAACAGACAGCACCGACGTCTGAGCTCGGATCAGTGCCGTGATCGACGTCCTGTTCCCGGGCGCGATGCCCGTTCTTCTGCTCAGGACGGTGACGGCCGCCGGGATTCGTGCTGCCATGGCATGCAGAACTGACATAGACTCTGCCAACTCCCCGTCGCTGAGGCCCAGCACGGTCCCATCATCGGCGACACCCAGTCGATACACTGCATCTCTGTACTGGGTGAGATCTGCAACTTCTGCACACTCCTCCTCAGAGCTGCATTCCCTCATCCGCCAGTTCAGCTGCGTCACCAACTCCTCGAACCTGTCGGTGCCTTCCCTGGCCGTCAACTTGAGCTTGTACTCCACTTTTCCAAAGGGCGGTTCTGGCGCCAAAGCTATCCTACTGCTGTCTGCGATAAAGCTCGTCCTCTCCGCCCTCTGTTGCCGGGAGATTCGCGTCAGGCTCAGGCGCGCTGGCCAGGGCTTGGAGAAAGCGCCGTCTACCATGCACGTGAAGAACCTCCCGGAATCGCAGGCGCAGCTCAAAAAGAGCCACCCCACGAGAAGACGCCGCAGTCGGGAGCTTCGCCCATCAGTTGGCTTCGTCAGGGTGGAAGACATGGACACATCCCCGCAGCCCATCAAGATCCTAACGTTGCCAGCTCAGGGTATAAGAGACATGGTCGGGCAGCAAGCCTGCTTTTTGGCCCTCTCAAGAATTTCCGTCTACCCCTTGGGGCATCCTTAGGCTGTGTAGGGTTTAGGGTAGTTTAGGTTTTAGGGGTACCTCTGCAAGGGTTCCATTGAGGTGCGCTTCCCCGACCCTTTACCAGGTCCCCCAAATAACACCCTCCAAAAGTAGCAAGGGCGCAACCTTCGGGCGCCGAGGTCTAATCCCTGTACAGCGCCTCAAGCCCTAAAATCCCCCCAAAAGCAACCGAAAGCCTCAAACAAAAACCTTAAGAGTTTGGGGTTTAGGGTTTATAAGGTTTAGGGTTTAAGGTCTTGGGTTTAGGGTTTAGGGTTTAAACAGCCACCCCAAACCACGGAATGAGGCTTCGGCACATGCACCGGCCCAGAAGGCAGCGAGCGCTGCTCGCGGCCACGGCCTCCCCGTGCGCCTGCGACGACCCAGGGCTGAAGTTTGTAACTGCAGTGTCTGGTATTACTGATGTTACGATCATTTCTGTGATCTCTCGTGTTTACTCCTTACTTCTCGCACTACTCCTCTTATTCTTAGAACTCATATCTCTCTTATTTCTCTTAGACTCGTAGTACTTGTTGCACGTATTTATCTCTTACTATACTCTTATTATACTCTTACTATACTCTTATTATACTCTTATTTTACCCTTATTGTGCTCTTATTATGCTCTTATTATACTCTTATTCTACTCTTATTATTACTCTGTTGCTGTTTTACTGTTTTTACTCTTTTACCCTTTTGACTCTCACTACTCTGATTACTCTGATTACTCTGATTGATCTCATTGATCTCATTACTCTCAGTACTCTCATTGCTCTCATTACTCTCATTACTCTCATTACTCTCATTACTCTCATTGCTATCATTACTCTCATCCGCCGACCCCGGCAAGCTGGGGGCGAGCGCAAGTGAAGGCTTTTTCCACTCTCGCACGGCTCAGAGTCGGGGCAGTAGCAGCTAGTACAAGTACAAAACCCTCGCTCTCCTGCCTATGCGCTTGCACAAGCAGCTAGTACTTGCGCCACGATGCTTTACCACGTCCGTGGGCAGCATGTTGCAATGAGCTTGGGCTGCGCCACCATGCTTTCCCCTTTTCTCCCCCCCCCCCATCCTAGCCTCCCCCCCCCCCGTGCACTTGGTCGCGGCATTTTTTGCATTTTTTTGCACAAACCCACACCCACCAACACCCAGCCCTCCACCCCCCCTATCCCTGCCCCCAGCCACCCCCAACCCCCCCCCCCCCCGGCCAACCCCCCCCAAAAAGCCAAACAACAACCTGATTTTTGGCGCTTCCCTGTACCCCTTCACTCAAGCCCCTACACCCCACAAACCTCCCCCCCCCCATGCCTCCCGCCCACCCACCCCCACCCCCACCCCACATCTCCGTCCCAGTCGCCCCCCAAAAAAACGCTAAAGTTAACGCATTTTGGACCCCGTTATCCTGGTTACAACTTGCGAGGCGCATTCGGTCGCGGCATTTTTGGCGCTTTCCCTGCGCCCTCCCCCCAAAGCTTCAGTTTTCGATGCAGAACACCACAGATTACAATGTACCACTTTCAGGGAAACTGGTATCCCAAGCGCCGAAGTCAATGCAGCGGACTGGCTTGCCGAGCTCGGGCGAAGCGACAATTACGGTCTTCATCCTTCAAGGTACAGTAGAGAATCCGTTCCGCAAACGAACACGCACGTTCCCACCTAGCATGCGTTGCAACATGTTCTTCACACCTTTGCTTTTGATGCAATTGCTTGTCAGACTTCTAACAATGTCGTTTCATTCTCACTGCCACTTGTGCTCTAGTCTTCAGCAAATTAATCTCGTTCTCACTCTCTCATATCACACGTGCTGAACGGACCATTTTCTTCCGATGCGACCAGGAGCACCAAACCCGCTCGGTGTTCCATATTATGGATAAGGGAAAAGGAGGGCTTGCCAACAATTCATGAAGCCGAATCCTGAACTACAATGGTGAACAACAGCATGTCTGTCTCGTTACATTTGATGAAGCTACACACGAATCTGCAGCAACACTGCGGGACAAATAAATATGAACGTCTTAAGGCGTCGGCTTGCCGCATTCAACAAGGAATGCTGCAGCTTGGTTCTCCAGATGCGCCCACCAGGCACTCTGACCGTCAGCCAGCCAGGCCCTGAGGCGTGGCTCTGGCCGGCAGCCAGTTCTCAAGCCATTCCTCCTCCTGCACGTAACACGCGGATAGCGGTCAAGCAAGGCTTGGTAGTTTGACAGCACAGGCCTTGTGGGGAGCTTACCAGCGCCACCGTCGCCAATAGCAATGACGTTGCTGCCGATGGCAACGGACTGCGTCCCCGAGCCTAGGAAGCCGATGACTTGCGCCTCATGCTGGGCCACCACCCGCACTGACGCGATATCCAGCATGGCTTCCTGCTGCAAGCTCAGCATTTGCAGCTCAAAAGGGGGTTTGGCCATAGCTTGCAACTCTTCCGTGGACCAGCGCTCTCGCCCTTGCCCTGCGCACGTCAGCTGCCAAGTGACTTCATCTTGCGGCACTTCACGCTTGCGCAGGATATTCTCGCACATGCCATGTAACTTGGACCCCAATTCCTCGAGCGCGAACTGGCTGGAGTCCTTAAGGGCCTTGTACGAGAAGTGATAGCTGGACTCGCGGATGAAGATGCCACGGTGCCAGATGATGACGCCGGCCTTGCCGGTACCAAGCTCCACAAGCAACTTGGTCATCAAGGCGAGGCTGCGTTGACACTGATTTCGAGCCCTAAGAGCTGCTCTGAAGAAGTGCGATGACGTTCCACTCTCCTGTTCCTCAAGCTGCTGGCAGGGAGCATCACTGACACCCTCGCGGATAAAACAAACATGAATTCACAGGAAAATTAAAAATGACTCCTGCTAAATATAGCACTATATATATAGGCTGCACTTGAAGTGCTTTGAATTAATGCAAATGATGACAATCCAATCTTGAACTGTGGCCCAACAAGTAGCAGCTGACTGCACATGTACACACTATGCCAACACCTGGCGTACCCCGATTTGGACGGCTGAGGAGAGCCTCGAAAAAAGACGGCAGCAGCCGTATGAGCGGCCTTTGCGACAGCGTGGTCAGTAATTCCCGAACTGTCACTGAAATAGCAATTCCCTTTCGTGCTATGCCCAGTCACCAGACATGCCCGGAAGATTCGAGATGTTGAACTTGCGAGGCCCATTTGGTCGCGGCATTTTTGGCGCTTTCCTGCACCCCTTCACTCAAACCCCTACACCCCAAAAACCCGACCACTTCACTCAAGCCCCTACACCCCACAAACCTCCCCCCCCAACCCCCCCAGCCCCCACCCCACCCCCCCGCCCCAGTCACCCCCCAAAAAAAAGGCTGAAGTTCTGGTTTAGAACTTGCATATACTTGCATTTGGTCGCGGCATTTTTGGCGCTTCCCCTGTATCTTTGGGGAAGGACGCGTCGTCTATCCCGGCGCGCATCCACCCGCCCGCCCCCCCGCCCACCAGCCTGCATGCCCATGCCCGCGGAGGCATGCGCCACCTTGCGCTCGTGCCAGCCGCCCATGGCCCGGAACCCTCAACCCTAAACCCTTAACCCTACACCCTGGAAACCCTAAATCCTACGTCAGGCGCCCTAACCCTAGACCCTAAACCCTAGGCCCTGAGCCCTAAACCCTGAAGCCTGAAGCCCCTGCCCTTCTACTCTCTCGCTGGAGCCTGGCGCCTTTTTCGGGGTCGGCGGAAGCGGCCTTAGCCCTTAGATTACTCTCTCGTTCTCATTACTCTCATTACTCTCATTCCTCTCATTCCTCTCATTCCTCTCATTACTCTCATTGCTCTCATTACTCTCATTACTCTCATTACTCTCATTACTCTCACTACTCTCATTACTCTCATTACTCTCATTACTCTTAGTTGCTCTTGCTTCTCTTATTGCTCTTCTGCCACTTATTACTCGTATTTGTTACTCTTATCCGTCTCATTACTCGTATTACGCTTGTTGCGCGTATTACTCATTTTACCATTATTACTCTTGATACTCTGATTACGCTTATTACTCTTTGTCCCCTCTGTGCTGCTTGATTCTATTGCTACTTCCTGTTATATCTGCTACTAGCTGCTAGAGTGGGACTCGAGGTCTTCATGAGGAAAGTTGAAAGGCTTCCAGGGTCTGGTGGTGTGTTTTTAAGGTCTTCAGGTAATTTCAAGAGAAGCGAGGGCGCCTGCGGACATATGGATTTGGGGTTTAGGGTTTAGGGTTTAGGGTTTAGGGTTTAGGGTTTAGGGTTTAGGGTTTAGGGTTTAGGGTTTAGGGTTTAGGGTTTAGGGTTTAGGGTTTAGGGTTTCGGGTTTAGGGCAGTTTGGGATTTCGGGGCTGAGGGTCCTCCAGGGGTCGCAGGATGAAGGGTGCGGCACTCGGAAGAAGCACCGGCGGCACCGTGCGTGGGCAGAGCGCCGGCTTGGCCTGGGCGCACGGCCACTGAGGTCTCTGAATTTCAAAGTGCACCATTTGTGGCCTGTTTTTTCTGCGACAGTGGCTAGCTGGGGCCACTGCTGGCCGGGCTGACCTCTTGAGGCTGGCAGCTCTGCGGCTGGCGTCCAACGCTTCCTGTGGTGATGGAGGGTCGCATGGAGTCATGCTGGGGTCATGCGAAGGTCATGATGGGTCATGTCAGGATGCGCTGGGTGTATGCGCTGTTCACGCAATGAAGCATGACGGATGGCGTGCCTTCAGCAAGCCTGTTGAGGCCTCGCCGCAACAGAGGGATACCCGAAGGCCAACTGATCTCATGCTTCGGCTGAGCGGAGAGCTTGTGGAAGCAGCGGCCGCTTTCGCAGGAGCTCACGGAGCAGGGAGATGATTCCTCAGCTTCGAGCAAGACCGGGGCCGAACCACTTACACATGCAACGGCGCCTGCAGCAATGACATGCCGGAAGGGGTCACGCCGAACAGCCGGCCTTTGACAAAAGCTTGGCTTCTGTCATATCCGATATGTCTCTTGTTCAAGGCAGCTCAAGGCCTCTCCGAGTTGCGAGATGCACGGCTCCACGCGCGCTTCCGCCTAGGAAGCGCCTCTGCAAAAAGCAGCACCCTCCCCTGACACGCGCTCGAACCCTTTGACTGTTTCCACAAGTGGCATCCCGTGTGGCCATGTGTCTCAGCCTTCGTTCGGTGCTCCGCGTGTGCTCGAATGAGATGAACCACCAGGCGCAGCCTTTCATGCAGAGCTTGTAGGGGAATCAGAACGACCACATGAAGCTTCGCAGTGCTTGTCGCACACGACAACAGCATGGCTGGTCAAAGCCAGGGCACAGCTCCTCTGCAGGTTGAAGATGCAACTTCCTTCAAGAAATGGAAAAATCTCTGGCACCAACCACCAAAGTACACAGGATGCCTTTGCAGCTCCCCCAGCAACACCTCGGCGTCTCGCATTGTTTTTTTTTGCCAATGCATCCGATGCCAATCTGAGTCGAGCACGCGCAGAACCGGCAGCCACTGCTTGGAACAATGCCCCAAAGAAGCCTGCACTTGCACCCCAAGTTGCCCGTCACTCACCCGGTCACACACTGCTTAGCAAGGCAGGGGTTATGTGAGCTCATGGTCAAGAGGTGAAAGATCCTCGGGGACGTACTATTAGACCAGGATCATGCGGTTGATTGTGGGTTAACAATGCATTTGGGAACGGTTTCTATGTCAGGCTCTTGGGGGTGATTTAGAGAGCGGTTATCTTGGCATCATTGTAGATTCAGAAAGCCGATTTCTTGGCAAGCCAATGCTCAGCGATGACTTGTCGCGATGACTTGTCGCGATGATTTTGTCATGATGACTTGATAGTGCTGACTTGGTCATGATTCCATGTACTGTACTTTAGAGGCATGCCCTCACAATGCTTTGCATGCATTACTGCTCATCGGACCAAGTACAAAGGTTGACTAGCTTAGCCATGTCCCGGAGAGTTTCGCACTTTTGCGCAGCTGGTTTTGGTGAGCGCAGGCACACTCTGAGGAGCCAGCCTGCAGAGTGGCGAAGAGAACACGCCTGCAAGAACGTGGCACAAAGCAGACCCCAAGCGCATATCACCTCGCGCAGAACTGCATCTGCCTCAATCCCTCGCTAGAGATGAGCTTGGCCTCACAGGTGAGCAATTGGCTTCATGCGCCCACATGCGCCCACAGGAACATGAGCAAGTTGCTCCGACTACTCCGAGCCTTCGCAAGGAGCATCTCGCAGCATCGCCGTGTGGCATCAGGGCAAGGCACCTGCAGAAGAGCGAGCTGTGCGCGAACCTACTTGTACAATGTACTTGTTGGAAAACGCCGTGCAAACTTTGGGCACCCTGCCGACGTAGAGGCGCACCACTCCGCCACGGAAACTGTGGCACCTGATGGGCAAGTTAATGTAATTCACTACAACTTCTCTTTTTTGGTGAGATACGGGCCAACAAAGACAAGTGGAAATCATGCAACCCCGCATCCTTCCCTGAGCAGCGGCACGCATGGTCAGCGTCGTTCCTCGCCGCAGTGCCGCCTCTCAAGCGCTCATGTCTCCTGAGTCATGCACCAGTGTATGATGCTAATTTGGCGGCTGATCTATGTGTGTATATATATATATACATATATATATATATATATCTATCGTATAGCTGCCCCTCATTGCCCCTATGAAGCCCTTGTTATGAACTCAAGCCTGAGGAAATCATTTGCCACAACAAGGACCTCCCTATCAAACCCCCCCATTTCGGCTTGTGGGGGGAGGCAAACACTGAAACCCTAAACCCTGAACCCTGAACCCTAAACCCTAAACCCTAAACTGACAAGAGTGCCGGGACCACCCGAAGCGCGCGCCCGCAGGCCACGGCGAGGTCGGCCTGGACAGCACATGCAAAGCCGCCTGGGTCTGGTAGGGGCTTCCGAACATAGAGGTGCCCTTTTTGGGGGCTCCTTCCAACTTTTTGAAGGATGAAATAGTATTATTTGTGGTATATAAGGGGTACCCCCATTTTTAACATAGGGGTACCCCTTTTTGGGCTCCTTTAAAAGGATTAAATGGTACTTTGGGGCATAGAAGGGGTGCCCCCATGTTCATCAAGCCCCTGGTCAAGAAATTGAAACGGGGGCCTCCTCAGCAGCCACGGCCGCTGGCGAGAGCCGCTGCAGCGTCTGCCACGTCGCAGCGTCAGGAACGCAGTTTAGGGTTTAGGGTTTAGGATTTAGGGTTTAGGGTTTAGGGTTTAGGGTTTAGGGTTTACGGCAGGAATTGCAGCTACGAAAAGCCCGGGTGCAAGTAGGCGCAATGCAATCTCAGCCTTTCAGCCATAAAAGAAACTGAAGGAAGAAGCACTCAGAGGCTATCTAGCTTTTGAAAGTTCAGAACAGAGAAGAGGGCTAACACAGAGCATGCAACCGACGGCTCAGCAGACAAACTCGTTCAGAGGAAGTTTCCAACGCGCCCTCTCACGACCGCACACAGCGCGAACAAAATGTTCTCGCTCTGCCCTCTATACTGGCGCCGCCCTCACGAACCCGGAACTTCGAACCTGCTCCGGGCGCATGCCCTTCAAGCTACGAGTTGAAGGCCTCGCCATTGAAAGTACGAATTAGACTCGACCTTCCCCAGCAACGCTCGGATCGCTCGGATCTCCCTGAGCAATGTGCCAACGTGCTCGCTATCACGACAGTTCCTGGCATGTGGCATGTGCACGCGAAAGCGGACGCGAGTACTTGACATCGTCTCGAACATCCCAAGCCAGCGCTTCGAGGAAGCGTGCCCAAGAGCAGGAAACCCCGAGACAGGTTGTGCTTGCAACAACCACACGAACGCGCGCAACCCACTAAAGATTGCGTCCACCAGGGACAACGAATGCAAAATAGCAACGAAGCCCGAACCCGAGGTATTTGGTTTCGCAAATGCCTCTGGGACAACCGCCGTATACCTAGCTGGACACGTGTGCCTCATATGCTTAGGAACTGGACGCCTGGAAGCATTGACTTTGTCAACACAGGGTGCCTCTACCACAGAAGAGAACGTGGCCAGCTCCCACATCTGTCTGTCGGAGTGGCCTGCGGGCATTGGTCAGAAACAGCTCGCGCTGCCTACAAATACTGCACTCCACAAAGAGCTTTCGGGAAGCTGCCTGAGAGGCCTGCCACCACACCTGCCATTCTCTGCCACAGCACCTTGGCCTTGCACCCAGGCGCTGCAAGCTTCCAGCCGCCACACACTCTCTCAGAAGAAGTTGCGCGCCAGCTGTCGCCCGCCATCCGGGAGGTCGAGAAAGGCACCTGAACAGGGTTCTTCTATGCTGCTCCTGTCTTGGAACAGTTGCCGTCTGAAGTCTGTGCAGGCCTTGGGGGTCCTGGACGTGCAGCAGCGCGCCGCACCGATGCGCTTCCAGCAGGTCCGCTGTGCTCAACCGCCTTGCTGCCAAGGAAAAAGCCTGTGAGTTGCACCAACTTCGGGCAAGCAGGGCCTGGGGCCCCCCGCCCTGCTTGCTGGTCGAGCCTGGCAAAGACCTCCGATGGAGGGCAAGGCCACGTCGCCGGTGCGGCTCGTGCCTAGCGCGGCGCTTGCAGAGCCTGTGTCCGACACTCTTGCATCAAAGCCGCCACTGAGCCTCCACAGATCTCGAGCAAATCAGGGCATAGGGCAAGGCGATGCCTGAACCAGTGCCTGCCAGGAAAAACCAGCCCCGGTGTGCCCAGTTCCAACTCTCTCTTTGAGACTCACCAAAAGCGAAAGTGATAAGATGGGCAACGCGAAAATCCAAATGTCGATGCGCCTTCCGCACGCTGCAAGTGCCTAGTGGCGGCAGCCAGCCTCGGGAAGAGGAAGTTGGGATGCGACTACTCTCATGTCTGAAAGGCCGAGGGGCGGGCACCGCATCGAAGTCTCTGTCGTCAGCGCAGGACATGGCCTATGACCACCAGAATCACTTAAGATGGCTGCAGTGCTTTTCACCTAGGTTTCACCTAGGTTGCTCATGACATGTGCGACGAAGGCTGCGCAGCCGGGCCATGAGGCACTGCAGCGCTGTCCGCAACTGCGGCTCGGAAGGCAGCGCCAGCACCTCCGCACCCGAGTCTCCGGCCAGCGCCATGTGCTCCGTGCAGCGCGCCTGAGGCTGCCAAGGCTCCAGCTGCGCCGCTTCTGCTGTGAGGGCCTGCCATGGCGCACGGCATCGCCAGGGGAATGGTGTCTCAAGGACAAGCGAGAAAGAAAAGCGAACTCTGTCATGAACTGTCCATCTTGCTCTTGCTTGGCGTCACCAACGAGCGAGCCTCTTGCACATGATAGGGGCGATGGACAAGATCCGTCGCGCCTCCAGCGCCCCGGAACCAAATCCAAACCAAAAGCAACCGGCATGCACACCAACAGCTCCCCGGGCCCTGTGCCCAGCCGCAGGGCCACGCGAAGCCGCCGACCCAGCCGCAACTGCAACTCCTGGGAGTCTCTTGCGTCACCGGTGCTCCCTCCCATCTGCCAGAGATGCCCGTGCAGAGACACATGCCGCATGTCCCGATGGAAGGCGCCGATCTGCTGCGCCGTGCTCGCCACCTGACCGTTTTTTCTATATATGTATACACCTCATATATATATATATATATATATGTACATACATACATACATACATACATACATACATACATACATACATACATACATACATACATACATACATACAGACAGACAGACAGACAGACATACATACATACATACATACACATATAATGTATCTACCTATCTATTTATGTATTTCTGTGTACTTGTCAGATGACAGATGACTTTCGTGGCCCGTGGACTTTTCTAACTGCAGCTAGTCTCAGCTTGCAGGCCTCCAAGACCTGCTGCGGAGACCATGGCTGGACATTCAGCCGATCTTCCCGACGCACAGCCTCAACCAATGTCACAGAAAGGACACGCGGAGCACTGGTCCTGTGATGTATCTTTTCCGCAGCTTGTGATGTGGTAATGTGATGTGATGTGTGAGATGCCTGCAGCCATCGGGTGGTCAGCTTCCTGTCCGAGACGCCAAGCCTGCACTGCAGTCTGATGCAGCCATTGTGCTTACTGCATATGCGCGTCGCAGATGCTTAACCACTGTGCTGACAACAGCCTGGCTAAACTTCTGCACAAACGGCCCAGGAGATGTGCCGACATCCTCGATCCATTGGAAAAGCCCTTCGGACTTCGCTCTGCGCAGGTCGCTAATTAAGGCAGGGTCCATCGAGGAGCTTCTTTCTGGGCTTCCACACCTGAAGCAAGCAACCGAAAAAGAGCCTTGCCACTCACCAGCTCCGTCCATCCGGCGTTGCAGTTGTGCAGCACCGAAGTCTGCTGCGCCTCTCATGCCCACGTCCTTTAGGACTGCGCGGATGAAAGGTTCGGCTCTGACCTGTGCTCACTTCACTGATGCTCTTCTGGACGTCCGCATCTGCCCCACAATTGCGCCTCTAAGGTTGCCATTGCTTCGCAGATGGAAACCACGTCAGCCTTAGACAAGGGTTTAGGGTTTAGGGTTCAGGGTGTCGGGTCTAGGGTTTAGGGAAGAGTCTGATCAACATGACACATCGCACGAAGCTCGCAAGCTCTCTGGCCCAGGCATCTGCGATGGTCTCATGTCGCTCTTCAGGTTCAAAAGCTGGACTCGGCCATCGTTGTTTCTCCCCACAGAACCCACCCACACACACAGTCTTCTGGCACCCAAACATCCGAGATCGCGGCATTGAAAACAGATTGCTTGGGGCAACCGGACCCCTCGGGGCGGGTTGCACGGGTTCACCAACACAATCCGCTTGATCGCAGCAGATCCCGCCTTGACCGGACATTCTGAGGTTTCCGAGGCTGCTTCTTTGGCAGCCCCTCCTGGAGTGCTCCGAGAAGACAACGCGACCAAAAATGCTTTCGCGGGCCCGCAAAGCGCTCTTCCACTCTCCTCCAAGGACTCGGACGCAACGCGCGCCGCAAATCGCAGGGCTGCTGTATCCGGCCACCTTGCCCAAAAGGGCACGCTACGAATATTCTCTCTTTTGTTGCTGTATGCAACGGAAGAGGGCATGCTGTGGAGATTCGCGGAAACCTCAACGCAGCCAGCCCACGACACAGACTGGCCACTGCATCAAACCTGAGGCACACGCTGCGACGCTCGGAGCGCACAGCTGAAGACTAAGTGTACTGACCAGCAGTCCACTCCAAGGCTTCGACTGCACCTCCTTTTGGATCAGTCAAGGACACAACATGTGCTGACAATTGCTGACCTGAGCTGACGTGATCTGACATGATAGGCCCTGCTCCGTCCTCCGTCTGCGCGGACTGCACGGACGGGAAAACCATGGAGAGCTTGTTCAACAGCTTTGTGTCTCTCGCACTGAATGTGCCGAAGGCATCCACCAGACGAGCAAGCTCAACCAAAGAACAAGAGGTCGCCTGGGCATGCACACACAAGGTAGAACACATCAGAACGGCAAAGAACAAGAGGTCGCCTGGGCATGCACACACAAGGTAGAACACATCAGAACACAATCCATTACCAGTTACTTTCCCGCTGGGCCTCTCGACAAAAGCGCTGCGAGGCCTCAAGCTTGAGAGCCCGCCCCGGGCAAACACTTGCAAAGTCATCTCAGCTGTCGCACACGGCTCACACACTTGGCACAGCATAGTAAGCTTCCCGCCACCCGCAGAAGTCGTGCAGGTGACCCATGGGAATCTGATGGGGAATCCAGAGAGCCCGCAAGCCTGACACGAAGGCAAAAGCGCCCACCAAGTCCGAGTCAAGGCTCCACCTCGAACCCAGCCCACAGCCTGCTCGGCCTGCTCTGATGCCTCTGTCTCTTTGCAAACGCATGCAAGATCCGGGACAGCTCCCCAATGGACAGGATCTTGCTCTGGGCCTGCCGAGAACAAGCACCTCTCACTACGGGGGTTCTACAGCGTTCTACAGCTCCACCCGGCCACAAGTAGACGTTCAAGCTGTCTCCACAAGAGGTCGTTGTCAAAGTGCTTTTGTGCTGGACCTTCGGCCTCCGCACTGGCGTTGGGAAACAAGCAACTCGAGAATACACCTTGCAGACACATGCTGTGGACTCGGCAAGAGCTATCAGCTCGGATGAACGGAACCTGGACAGGAAGTGCACGCGCCAAAACACGAGTCTCCATTCTGCAAGAGCAGAACGTGCCATGTTACAATGTTCATGCGCAGCATGACGGCTTCCAGGGCACTGTTCAAGCAGACCGAATGGGCGAAGAGTCTGTCGCGCACGAAGTTTCTCCACCTACCAAGAGGAAACACAGATCAGATTCCAAACAGAACTGTGCTCGAGATTGGGGATTCTCACGTACAAAGTATCGATAAAGGCAAAGCCAAACCTAAAGATATCTATCTACACATATATACATGTATATGTATATATATGTATATATATGTATATATATATATATATACTTATGTGTGTTTCTAAACTCCGCAAATGAGATTGGTGTAAGAGGCCCCCTCGTCCCGCCTTGCTGATTGGTCGCTCGGTGCCTTACAGCGAGTGCGTGCCACGATCCTGCTGCCTGCCGCAAGCTGGGAGCACATCAGATCAACAGGGGCCCTGGCGAAAGAGGTGGAAGCGCAGGGAGGTCTCTCTTGAGCTTGTGAGCGCATGTCGCTCAAAAATTGCCTGCGGGGCTGCCGGACTCCATCCGAAAGGTTCTTCAGGGCGCGTTACTGTCGGCAGGTTGAATTTCAGTGGACTCGGAAGCCGATAGCAGGCAAGTCGTTGAGAGGCACCTGCTTCACCAGCTCGCGGTGATGTAAGCGCGTCGCTGTACGCTCCACTGCCTGCATTGTGCGACTGGATTGAAAATTGGTGGCAGCAGCAAGTTAGGGATCCGAAGTATGGGTCCTTAATTAGGGTCCCCTGTTGTATAACCTTTTTTTCCACAACACTATACATAACAAAGGGCCCATACTTCGGAAAAGACAATGGAGTCTGGCACCTTCACCGTCTTTGCTCTGCGTCGTCCTTGCCTCGAGCCTCCCCACCAGGCGGAATATGAGAAACTCTCAGAAGCCCAGAAGAGACACCCTGTCAGTTCTCTGAGGCATGGTCCTGGTACCAAAGCCAACAACGCCTCCATGTCAGGTCAAGATGCGAGGATGCGCACTTAAGCACACACACACACACACACACACACACACATATATATATATATATATACATATGTGCTACATAAGCCTTTATCTATTCTGCTACCCCCCCCCCCCCCCAATGGACCAACCTCGATATGTGAAAGCTCCGGTCGGCACTGTCTGCTCTGATGTGTTCCCGGGCTTTGGTCTTTGGTACGTATTATTGAATCGGTTTGCCTTGTTTTTTGTGCACTTCTCGTGATTTTTTGCACTTTTGCACGTTTGCTTTTTTGCACTTTTGCACATGTTTTTGCTTTGTTTGCATTTTTGCATTTTTTTGCTTTTGGCACTTTTGCACTTTTTTCTGGCTTTTTTGCATTCTTTTCATATACTGTGTTCTTGTCTATGCCTGTCTTATGCATAGAAAATCAAAAATCCAAAAATCCAAAGATCCAAAAGTCCAAAAATCCAAAAATCCAAAAAACCCAAAATCCAAAAATCAACTTGCTCGGACAATGTCTCCGGAAAGTTTGGATTTTGGATTCTTGGGTTTTTGGTTTTTTGGGTTTTGGTGATTTTTCGCATTCGAGGTTGGCTCATATTCATTCTCCTTTTTTATGACTGAAAGGAGGGCGACCATTCAAATGCACCCTTATCAGAATTTCAATTGCGTCCTAACTACTCGAAAATTCATAGGACGAAAAAAAGCATGTTCAATAAGATTTTGAATATGCTGTTTCTGTATATGAGGACCATGTCAAGTCTTGCCTATTCAAATCACTGGCACAAGTACGTACATGGGTTATGCACAGGCCTTTGCTAAGGAGGCGTTAACAGAGAAGGCCTATATTTGCAATATCTAATTTTGTGCAACAAAGTGCAAAAAGCCAAACAAAATGCAAAAATGCAAAAAAAAAAAAAAAGTGCAAAAGTGCAAAAATGCAAGAAAAGTGCAACAATGCACAAAAACACAAAAAGCACAAGAACTAAGGCAAAACGCGGAAAAAAAAAAAAAAAAAAAAAAAAAAAAAAAAAAACAGAAAGCACGACAAACACAACTAGTTTTTCCTGTCCTTTTCATTTCGCGGTTGGTCCATTGGAGGGGGGTGAGCATATATATATATATACATATATATACTGATGTATTTATATCTATATTCAGACTTTTATTTATATTCACATATTATACATATTTGATATTTCACAACATCGTGATCGGCCTGGGGCTCAGCCAACGCGCTTTGCTCCGTTGAGACATAGAGCCTGGCAGAAGTCATGGCGGCTTCGGGTTCCGGTGGCTTAGGGCGTTGGAGCGGTTTATGGGGTCTAAGGGGGTTTCGGGGGGTTTGGGGGGGTTTAGGGGGGTTTAAGGGGTTTAGGGTGTTTAGGGGGGGGTTTAGGGAGGGGTTTAGGGGGGTTAAGGTGGTTTAGGGGCCGCCCCTCAAAGACAGCATCGCCTGGCGAATCTTGTGTAGTCACCTTTAGGTACTCCCAAGAACGTGTAGAGATAGCCATGGCTGCGGGAAAGCATGGCACCCGCATTCCTACAGCCTGCCTTTCTGGAACTACTCTTGCCAGGTTCACCCAGATTTCCGTATGTGTCCTACATTGTTTCTTGAGCTTTTTCTTGTAAAAGCCTGGTGAGCCAAAGGCTTCACAGGTGACTGGTGCCAGCCAGGCGTGCCAGACGAATAAACACAGAGCCGCCGCTGCACGCACAGGCATAGAAATTTGCCCTGCGCATGGCATTGTGCGCATTATCCCAGACCTCACACCATGCTCTAACCTCTACGGTAGGCACTAAACCTAAACCATTACCCGAACGTCATCAACACACCCACATCGTGGGAAGCAGGAGGTGAAACTTGGCTGTAAAAGCAGCACCAGCAGTACTGCATGCTTTGTCTCAAAACATAGTTGATCGTGAGACAACTCACGTTGCTTCCAAAGAAACTGTTTGAGCCTTTCACAGACCTCATGAACACGTAAGCAACGCAATGTTGGTTTGCAACAGGCTTCGCTCACACAGAGCCATGCCGGCTGCAGCTGATGCACCCTTCCTGTCGACAAGGGCAGTTCAAAGGTGGGTTTACGATCATAGCTGTACCGTGTTGGGGTCCTTCTGATAAGAGATCCTACCATTTGGGGATCTATATTAGGGGTCCCTAGCCCCCAAATCAGAAGCATCCACCACAACAAAAGCACTGAGGGCCGAGCTCTAGGAATTGTTTCGTCTGTGCCGCTCCTTTAGAACCTGGCTGCAACTGCTGCCACACTGCTTCTGCGAGGGCCTCTACAAGGCCACTCGCTCTGAAGTGGCCGGAGGGACGAGCATGCAAGTAACAAACTCGTCGCGCTCCATTGGTGAGGAAAATACCAGATTCATTCTCCTGGGCGGCCCCGCACTAGGCTCGAGTCAAACGCAAGCGCGTTCCCTGAAGCGCTGGTGCGAAGCAATATCAGTCAATGGTCCGGTTGTCCATAACAATCACCGCCGCCAGCGCATCAGATGGCAATGAGACCTAGCCAGCCACAGGCTAACGAGCCTTGCATTGCTTGATGACTGAATGGGCATGCTAGGACTGCAGCAGGAACGTGAGTGAAGTCTGTCAGATCATAGCCAAAGCCTTGACACACATGCTCCCGAGATTGTGAAGCTTTCAGCACGCCAGACATGTTAGCCTTCAGCAAAAGGACACACAGCTTCGAAAGAGGCTTATCACTCACTAAGGCTTCGTCTGATATGTTGCATATGGCTGAAGGGATACCTGCGCTCATGGTGCACTCCCCGGTCGCTGACAGCTGTGGTGGAGCGGGAGAGGCACTCTACGATAGCCCCCTTAATGTGCATGGAGAAGGCCGTGAGCTGCTTGTCCAGAGTACCTAGGCTCAGGGTTCAGGATTTGGGGTTTAGGGTTTAGGGTTTAGGGTTTAGGGTTCAGGGGTTAGGGTTTGGGGTTTAGGGTTTGGGGGTTTAGGGTTTAGGATGCAAACTTCTTTCAGCACAAGACAGGGAGCATGAGCCCCTTCTGTCAACAATGCAACATGCGATGATCTGCCGAAGTTTTCGTTGACCAACGGAAGGACACCGATGCCATCAAGTTGATGATCCCGGGCTTTGCAACTGGATACTATTTGTTAGGCCATTCAAAAAAACAAACTATCCAGTTTTCCCCCAAACCCCTGGATGCTTTGGCAATTCTTCACAAGCAGCACACCTCAGGAGCTTGTAAGCTCTGTGGGCCTTTGTCTAACCCCTAAACCCTAAACCCTAAACCCTAAACCCTAAACCCTATAAACCCTCAACCCTATAAACCCTAAACCCTATAAACCCTAAACCACCAACTCCTACATTTGGGGCTTCTTTTGGGTCTCCATGTTCAGTACCTTCCTTGAATGCGGACAAACCCACGGCGCGCCCAATCTAGCAGCAAGAGCTTCCTCCCAAAGTCCCCAGGACACCACCATGGGAACGTGAAGAAGCAAGAAATGGCAATGTTTGTTTTTGGCCTGCTTCTTCACTCCACTCAGATGCTTCACAAAGCTCAGCTCCGAACAAAGGCGGTAGAAGAGGCGGCCGTTTCGCCCCAGCTTCATGAACACCTTCCGAATTCCACGAGGAAACAAGAACACACTGAATGCTGCCGCTCGCGGTCACATCCGGTTACTGCGGCGCCTTGCCCCTAGTGAGCTCCCTCGCGAAAGCATTGACGATGCTCTCCAGCTTCTCTTGCACAACCTGGTAGGTCATTTTTCAAGTTCATCCTGTCACGCTTTGGGTTCAGGGTGAGGGTTTCGGGCATCGCGGCATAGCAGGGGAACATCAACAGTATCACCCTTCGCCCCGGACCTCTTTCTCCCTCGCTCCGAGCTTGTCCCAGTCTTGCAGCATGGGCAAAGGCCTAAGCATCCGGAAGGAGAGCTTGACAGAACTGTTTTGCAGACGCGGTCATGACCCCAGGTCATGACCCCAGGTCGGAAGGAAAATGTTATAGCAGAAACCCCAAAAAATATAAAGGTCCATGCCGACACAGCTCCCATGTGCTGGGGTCTCCCGCGTATGGACTCTGCTCTGCGAGGTGTCTGGTACCTTTAGTAAGCTCCAAAGGTGCAACTTCCCATGAACAGAGCACCCTCTACTTGCAGGTTCATGGGTACTTTGTTCGTAGGGGTATAAGTACCCTAAATAAGGTGATGACCATGGTTCCCCTACATACAACCCTACTTAGAAGTACCCATGAACCTCCATCACTTGGAAGCGCACTATAGGCGCTGGTCCATTGGCTTCCACCCTGGCATCTTCCGTGTCTCACCAAACTAACAAGGTCTCCTTCAAGCTCGCACAGCTTCGAGACACCTCATCCGAGAGCTCTGAGCACATGGGCCACCGCCGTCGCAACAGAACAAGGACATGGGGGGCAAACCTGCCAGGATGACACCGAGCTTGCCAGCGAACCAAAAAAAAGGAATAAAAAAAGGACACACACACGAACCCCAAGTTGCACTGTTTCCAAGCCTTTGCCGAAGGCAGCTCAGTTCTCTCACACAAATCAGAGCATTTTCACTTGAGCCAGATCTGTGTCAAGCAAGTGAGTGACTCTGAACCATGGACCCTTAAGAGGAATCCGAGACTTCCGGAAGGTCCCCATGATCTCATTGTCATTATCACTACCATTGTTATTATATGTTATTGTTCTTGTTATCATTATTATTCTTATTAGCAGGCTATTGTTACTATTACTAATACAATTGTCCTCATTGGTCGCTGTGATCCTTGTGAGCCCCAGAGTTCGCAAGCCACGGTGCTCGTGGAAGTGGGCCGCGGCCTTTTTTCTCCACCCGCCAATGGTGATCATGAACCTCACCACCATGGTCGCGATCCCTGTACCCGTAGCATCCCTAAACCTTAAACCCTAAACCCTAAACCCTAAACCCTTCACACCATCATCACCATCAGCTACATGACAGGTCAGCTTGGCCATCAAGGAGATGGCCATCCACGCTGCACTCATCGACCTTGGTCTGCTGCAATCTCTGGGTTTTTGATGGGTTTAGGGTTTAGGGTTTAGGGTTTAGGGTTTAGGGAAGCGTCCTACTTTGGGGCTTGGGGTTTGAGCTTGCGGGGCCAAAAGCGCTTTTTGTTTTGGTCTTTCTTTTTTTTTTTTTGGGGGGGGGGGGGGGGGGGTTGCTTAGGATTCAGGGGAGATGTAGACCCAGCCACCATGTCCGAGATCTTGATGGATACAGGCAGTATCCCGTTCGTGATTCTGTCCGCCACGTCCTGGGGAAACAGCTGAAGGTTCTTGTGGGAACTGCTCCTAAGTGTTCTCAGGCAAGATATGAGGAGCAAAGGAGTCAACATTGCTGTACATACAACAGTAGGACTACAAAAGCCGGCGTCAACTCGCCTTCATCTTACTCCGTGCCAGTCGCAGTGGTGACCCTCGTGAGTGGAGTCCTGCTCGTCGAGCACGGTGAAGTTCACATACTGGCGCGGAGTACCAGAAGCTGCCTGGCGTTTGCAACAGTATGCAAAGGCTTGCAATATCTTGCAATGGCACCGGGACTTTCTGAGTCTGCACACCTCTCGGCATGGATTCTTGCCCGGCTTCAGGTTTCCCGTAACATTCGATCCGCCGACCTGTCTTGGCATACGCCATACGCGTGCATTCAAAAAAGAAAAACAAAACAAGAGTCCAACACATACCATTTACCATTCACTAGTATTCACTTCACTCACCTTGATCCACTCCAGGCGCTCGGTGGTGCCGTCGTTTTCGTCAAAGTCGGTCTGGTTGATCCTGCCGAGCTGACATCGCTCTGCTCCCCTGCACCTCACGCGATTTTCCCGCAACTCACTGGCAACCCCAAGGGCCAGGTGCCTTACGGTCAACGTGCACTTTCGGGACGTCATGTTGAAGATGTCCAGCATCAGGATTGTGGTCGCTGTGCAGCCCGGCTCCTGCGCACGCACACAAAGATGGGCCCAGGAAAAGCCCAGGGAAAGCAAGGGCACAGCCTGCCTCACACCAGAAGTGCTTCGAGTCTTGCACAGGGAAGTCGTGCACCGTTGTGGTGGTGACCGTACCCTGCACAGAACAGATGCACAGAACAGGACTCATATGGGCTCATGACTCCACCCTAAACCCTAAACCCTAAACCCTAAACCCTAAACCTATCATGTACCACAGTATACGGTAGCAGCTTGGCAGTGGGCTGTGGTCGTCGTGGTGGTCGGGGGCAGCGTCACGATGGGCCGTGCGAAGCAAGTGACGGAGACGACGCCACTGCCAGGGGGGGCAGGAAAATGGGGGTTTCCAAAAACAGGGAGGGGTACCCTTTTTGGGGCTCTTTGAAAAGGATTCTAGTATATTGGGGTATATTTTGGGGTACCCCTATTCTGGGGTTGGTTCGGCACCTAACGCCATGCCTCAGATGGTTGCCATTCACGGGGCACTCGTCTACTGACGGCGAGATCTTGCCTCAACAGGCACACTGCCCGAAAGCTCAGTGCTCGTCCAGGCTCGAGTTCAAAAGGCCATGACCAGAGATTCGGAGCTCGCCATTCTGATCAATCAGCCCCTGGCAGGATTCTAGCAGTGAAGTTCTCAGGTCGCTAGGCCACAAAATTTCAGCGTGGGCACCTCGAGCGGCAGATCACGGATGCACCTGACTCATTGAACAAGGCTCAGCGCGGAAGGTGTACACTGGCATCCAATCTGGAAGGGCCACTTCATCCGAGGCACGGGTAAAGAGGCACATCGAGTAGGCTTGCATTGGTCCTGCCTAGTCAAGATGTAGGTGGAGTGTCTTGGATGCCTCACGCTGACTTAAGCTCCACGCCACCGCTGACAGGCGCCGAAGCTTTCGTGCCAGCTTGCTTGGACGCATGGTCCTTCTTGGAATCCTGCAAGCTCGAGGTCCGAGCCACAATTTGGCACCAATCACGAATTCCGTCGCCATCTGAGCTGCGTACAGACTTGGCCTCAGGTGCTGTCTCTTTCTTGCCAGCTTGCTTGGATGTCGAATCCTGCAAGCTCGGCGCTGTCACACCCGCAATTTGGAACTAACTCCACCGCCATCTGAGCTGCATACAGACTTGGCATCAGGGGCCGTCTCTTTCGTGCCAGCTTGTTTGGATGCATGGCTCTTTTTCGAATCCTGCAATCTTGGCGATGCCCACGCCGCAACTCGGCACTAGTTCCATCGCCGTCTGAGCTGCGGACAGGCTCGGCATGTGTAGCCAACAAGGAGACATTGGACAACTGCTGCTCGGTGACAGTCGTTCCATGCAATGCTGCCGGGTTGTCGTCTGTCTCGCAGCCTGCGTGGTTTAGAAACAAGGCCAAGGGAGTTTAAGGAGGGATTCAAGCTGCAGCTCATGGCTGAAATCACAGCGGAGTCACCCTTGGGCTTGGGTGCTTGTGGCGAGAAGTCGCGAAGAGCCTGCAGCGCTCTCGCAACGACCCCCAAGCGCATCCACGGCGCGCAAGCGCGCAGTTTGGGGTTCTGCACTTTTGCGCCTCCTTGTCGTTGATCAGGATCCACTCAATCTTCTCCCGGCCGTACCTCTCTGTGCTTTGGCTGTTTCGGATCAGTTGCTAGGAATCGAGCTGCTACGCTGCGATTTGCTGCTAGACATAAACCCCCTAAACCCCCTAAACCCCCTAAACCCCCCAAACCCCCTAAACCCCCCAAACCCCCTAAACCCCCTAAACCTCCGATCTTGCTGCGCCAGGCGACGTGTCGTCGAAGTCCGTGGCATGCACGGAGACCGACAACAGGCACCTTTGGGAGCAGTGAGAACACAGCAGAAATTGAGAACACAGAGCACTTATGAGTATTTCCCAAAATAGGGGGTACCCTTGTCTACCCCGAAAAGAATAGAATTCCCTTAAAGGGAACCCCGCCCAAATTAGTGCACTTATCAAAGAGGGGAAGAAAAGGAATCATAATTCGACAGCAACCGCCGATTGAGCTCGTTGCATTTTGTACTCCATCTCGGAGGCATTCTCGAATACCTGCCACAGAAGAAGCAAGTCATCAAATCATCAAATCATGACATGGGCATTTCCCAAAACAGGATCTCATGATCTACCCCCAAAATGCTGCAGCCCTTACTACAGGAACCCAAGACGGGGTACCCACGTGGAACCCAGATATAAGCAAACCGTGGCCCCTTGCTTTGCACTCCCCGCCTTCAGGGACGCGTCGGCGACGCAGCCCGGGGGGCCGCAACTCCACTCGGCAGTCCTCGGAGACCGGGGGTACAGTAGTTGGCCTCTTTTTTTGGGGGGGGTGGGGGTACGGTATACTTGGAGGCTTACGGAACTTATGACTTATGATTCATATGATTACATAATCTTACATATAATTTATGATGGGCTCATGAGGCAGGAGGCATCATGGGTTCTATCTGGGGTTGTGAAGAAGCACAGGCACGAGGCCCAAGTAATTACCCCGGCCTGCTGACCTTGCTCCACTCGACGTAGAACTTGGGGGAATCGGGGGTCGGCGCCCTGACAAATCTTCCTCTATCTTCCTCTTCTTACCGCATGCGTAGGGGCGTTGTAGGTTCTCAAACAAACACTTGTCAGGAAGAGAGCCGGCCTGGGGCGGCCGAACAAGTCGTACTGGTCCGTGCCGGTGTCGAACCAGGCAGCCTCCTCAGAAGCTGAGAGAATGGTTTGCCCAAGCAAAGGACCAGCTGCCCTCGGCTCCTTCCCGTCTTCACGGTCCTCAGAATGTGGTGCTGAAAGGGAGGGAGGGAGACATAAAGCCTTTGAACAGCAAGGCTTGCTGTAAGCTCGGATGCTGGCTGCATTACCCCGCCTCAAGTGGCGACACGCACATGAGCTGAAAGCCGACACCCCCGCACCACCCGCTGAGCAGCTGAGCATGCCACTCCCTGGACTCGACAGGAGCCCAGCCCTGCTCAATCCTCGTGATCTCGCGCTGCTGACATGCGCTGAGCATGCTGAGGGTCCTACTTGCTCTCTGTTGCAGTTCGGGGACATGTGCCAGATGTGGCAAAAATGTCACGCATGCGCCGTTTCCAGCCGGCGCCGGCTCGCGAAAACTGTGCTGAACTCAGATGAGGTCTTCTATGTCTCTGACATGGCCCACTGCATCGTGTAGCTGACAGTCGTGCTTGGTTGGGCAGGTATTGCACGAGTGCCCGCACGGCATCTCCGGCTGGCTTTCCAGCTTCGTCTTTATGGAAGGGGCCAGCTTCTGCCAAGCCTCCTCCAGCAATCCGGCGGTCTTTGGAGCATCCTCAAACCCTTTCTTCGTCAAAGCCTTGGCCTTCTCCTCCCAATCTCCAGGTCCCGACACCGAAATCATCTCAACAAGGGCCACCTCCCAGTCCGCAAGCCCGTCAGAGAAGGTGCCGTGGCAGGGTTCGCTGTCGGGATCCTTCATGGCGACCCCGGAGTCTTCAAGCCGTCGACGGAGCTCGCCAGTCTCGAGTCCCATCCAGTGCTCAACGGCGGCTCCCTTCAGGTAGAGCTGCGGAAGCTCGATTCCCACATCTGCCAGCGTCTGCAGGCCTCCAGGTAAGTCGGGTCCTGTCTCACTCAAGTCAACCACCTTCATTGACTTGGCTCCAGAAGCTCTCAGCTTTTCAACGCCATGAGCACTCGCTGCATCCAGTGGCTCGTGTATGGTTCCCCGCATAAACAGCACAGGTCGTTCATCGTTTGCATAGGCACCTGCGAACGCGAGCCATGTTGCCTTCGCCGCATCATCTAGAGTAGCCGCTTCCGTACTTTCCGTATTTTGGAGCAAGCTGTCTACAAACTGAGCAGCCGCCGCATTCCCGTCCTCCTCAGCAAGACTTCGTGCCTTCAGGAGCTCCTGCCGTGCTCGGGGCAGGTGCTTCAACTGCAGGAGGGCGAAGCCGTAGCCAAGACTCACCGTCGCCTTCTTGGAAACGTCCGAGCCTGCCAACGTCAAAGCTGCTTCGTAGTGTGGCAGCGCAGCTTCCGTGCCACCGGGTCCGGCTCGTGTCCACAGGGCCTCTGCCATTAGCAAATGTCCATCCAGCCCTAAACCGGAGCTTTTGGAAACACGTTCCAAGCACTCCACTGCAGCCTGTGCATCACCCTCACTCAAAAGGTTCTGCGCGCTGGCCAGCTCATCCATCAAAGGCCACAACAAAGAGGTCGCAAAATGTCCCCCAGAAACGAAACCCCTCGAAAGCCTCGGAGATACTTCACACGAACCCGTCAACGACCCTCAACACCCGTCGAGGCTGGTCGACACTCATCGACACTCGTCATGCCCGATCACTCATATGCCTTTCTTACGCACATGCCCTCCATGCAACCTTCATGTACAAGCTTGTGATGGCTGGCAAAGCTTGAGCCTGAGATGTTGCTGGTGTGTGTCTACACACGTGATTGACATGTGATGGGGACTGCTTGACACAGATGCCGGGACTGCCTGCCGAATTCTTTGATCTGCCAGTCAGGAGCCTTCGCCCGCCAGCTCGCATCCTTCACGCAAACCCAAATGCAAGTCAGATCATCAGACGTCTTCTAAAGGCATCCAAAAGCATTTGAAAGCCCTTGCTTGGCTTGGCCTCCGTTTCTGAGTCATAGGTCTGCCAAGCCTGACGGGACAATAGCAGGCACCAAACACGAACTGAAGAGACTGAGGAGCTCAAATCACTCTGGGACATCATTGGGGGCTGTCCTTTATGTGGGCCTTGTACACCTGTGTACCTGTGTGTCTCCCCGCCTCCTTCGGTCCGCCTGAGGCACTTTCATGGAACCTGGCCAGGGGTTTGGGGTTTGGGGTTTAGGGTTTAGGGTTTAGGGTTTAGGGTTTAGGGCTTTAGGGTTTAGAGTGGCAGGATGCAAGGGGGATGCTCGCAGGCAGGCGCACCATTCAGGAGGCTCGATCGTAGGAATGCTCTCGATTTCTTCCGAAGCGGCGCGCGGGTTTGCAGCCTGCAAGAGCCGGCGAACGTCAGCTTGCACAAGTCCGGGACGCATGAACTCCATGCACGGAGGCTCCCTAAACCCTAAACCCTAAACCCTAAACACTAAACCCTAAACCCGCAACCCTAAACCCTTAAACCCCCCTGGTCCTCTTGGGTGCGGAAGCGTCCGTCTTCATCGAAGGTGGACTCGGCCTGGCAAGCCATGGATGCCACGCGCTTTAGACGTCTTCTTTGTGGCAGCCCGAGAACCCCAAGGGCACGCTTTAGGGTTGAGGGTTTAGGGTTTAGGGTTTAGGATTTAGGGTTTAGCGTTTACGGTTTAGGGTTTAGGATTTTGGGTTTCAAGTTTAAGGTTTACTTTAGGGTTTGGGGTTTGGGATTTGTTTGGCAGCGCCTCTGCTTCATGGTGCGGCTGCGGTCCATGTTTGTCACCCTTTACTTTCGGGTTGAAGGTACAGCGCAGCAAAGCTTTGCTGGCAAAACTTCACCCTGATCGTATGAGCAGATGGCAGTTTCGCAAGTACGCTCGAGCGCAAGCCATAGGTAGAGTACCGTCTGCTGCTGCCGTTGGGTACCTCATGATTGGTGACCAGCCCGTGCAACAATATTTAAGGTTTCATGTCGGGTTTAGGGTTTAGGGTTTGGGGTTTAGGGTTTCACGCCCGGGATCCCAACACAAAAGCACTCGATTTGGAACCATCCCATATAGAAATATTTCAGAGGCACTTCTCTCACCAGGAATGCTTTGGGCAGCACTGATGTATGTGAACCCTTCACCGTTACTTAGGGGCTGTATACCCTAGCCCAAAAAGGTAAACCTTTTACATCTGTTAGGATTCTACATAACCAAAAAGGTTAAAGGTTACCGAATCCCTAAGGTTATCAGGCCCAGCATACACCGATCAAGGCATGCCAGGAGCGCGTCACTGAAGCTGCTGAAGAAGTCCGGGTCCAGTTTGCGCCCGGACTCCTGCCTCGGCGTTCATGCAGGTGACACACATCTGGTCCCAGCTCAAGTAATCTGGTAGCTGAGAAAGGTGCCGGGAAGCTGCATCTGATGTGGCTTGAACCAAGGACAGCTTCTCCTTCACTTAGGGGCCTTAAGTCTGGTAAAAACGAGGTTTGGGCTAGCAGCTTTGATGCAAAGAGAGGGCGTTCATCGAAATTCATCGAAATTGCAATGGCATGTGGCGCAGTCCTTCACCTCGTGTGCTCCGCCTGACAACGATGTCAAAAAAGGCAAATGAAGTACAACACCCATCGTTTGTCCGGCATTCCTCGCCTGGCTTGGCTGCATCCATGCGAACGTCCACATGCCGCTGCGTCCTAAGTTTGGTCGCGCTTCAACATCTGTCCATGTTCAACATCATGACCCAAGGTGCTGACTGCTGGCTGCGCTGCAGCAAACAGTGCGGCAAAGCCTGCCAGGCGGCTGAAGTACGCTTCAGCGTGGGCTGAAGTACGCTTCAGCGTGGTTAAAAAAACAAAACTCCGCTGCATGTCGCCTCCGGTCTGCGGAAACCTGCCTGAACGCACAACAAGTATCTGACAGTTCTGGACTCGCAGGTTTGGCAGCCGCCTCTGCAGTCGAGACCTGTAAGAACCACAAGAACGTTACCAGGTGGAGTTTCCTGGACCGTCTGACCTCAGCAAGTTTCGAACACGAAAATCGTTTATGCAAACGAAGACTTCTGAGAGAGCTGATGGAGCAAAAGCTATGAATTAATAAATGGAAGGTTTCTTGCATGCTGTCATGGCGTCATGGCATCCAGGACTTGAGCACATCGGTCGCAACACGGCACGGGAACGATGCCAAGTGCCTAACCATCAAAGGTCGCATCCGTGTGCTTTCGTGTGTCCTCGGATGCGAAACAAATCTTTCCACACAAAACTGCATCCTGGCCGCATGTTGCCACAACATGCAACAAGGACACATTGCTAATATGACACCAGGGCTCCGACAAGCGTATGTAGTAGTACTAGCGATGAAGCGTTCTGGCGAGGCAATTGCGTTTTCAGAAAACGATAGACACCCTGCCAAAAAAAACAGCTGAACAAGTTATACGTCGGGCCTCGGAACTGTTGCGGGAGCAGTCATGAGCGCATCCCACCCGAATTCCGTAAGGTTGTGGCTGACGGGCGCTTCAACACATTTTCTCAATGCTAGCTCCCTGGTCGCACAAACACGCACGTTGCAAACTAACCCAAGTAGACCGAACCGCAAGCGACTCACACGCATAGCTGAAAGCACTCGAAAACATTTGCAAAATCGCATCTGAAAGCAATCGATCTGATGCCAGCGCGCGTCCCATCTTAGGACGCAAGCATCTGAATTCTACGCTCAGGTGGAGCCTCTTTGGGCATCCCTCCGGTTGCTGCAGACAGTCTGAACTGCTTTTGTGTACACACGGCTTCGAAGCTGCACCATGCTTTTTTAGGGTTTAGGGTGTAGGGTTTCGGGTTTAGGGTTTAGGGTTTAGGGTTTAGGGTTTAGGGTTTAGGGTTTAGGGTTTAGGGTTTAGGGTTTAGGGTTTAGGGTTTAGGGTTTAGGGTTTAGGGTTTAGGGTTTAGGGCTGGCACTGCGCTGCACCTGCTCCGGAGAAGAAGATTTGCAAGGCTTGGACAGTACGCTTGCAAGCACATGTCATCACTGCATCAGAACTGCACTCATGGACACCTGCAGTTCAGGGGCTGACAAAGCAAAATTCGACATCTTCTACTTTGCTCTTGCCGAAAATTTAAGCCTCATGTTCCGTGCTTGCTGTGAACTTCAGACAATCGGCTGTGCAGAATCTCTTTTCCAGCTGGCCTCAACTGCCGGCCACTGCAGGTTGGCCCTGGCCCCAACAGCCCTTGCCATACATGCCGTAGCCGTGGCCCCAGCCTCCCTTGTCACATCCGCCATAGTATTTGCCCCAACTGCCCTTGCCACACACGCCGTAGCCACGGCCCCAGCCTCCCTTGTCCTGTCCTCCAGAGTATTGGCCCCGCCTGCCCTTGCCGTAGCCGCTGCCCCACCCTGCCCTGTCACATCCTCCATAGCATTGGCCCCAACTGCCCTTGCCATGCACGCCGTACCAGTTTCGCTTGCCAGAGCCTCCATAGTACTGGCTGCCATACACGCCGTAGCCGCAGCCCCTGCCTCCCTGCCCAAACCCTCCAGAGTATTGGCCCCAACTGCCCTTGCCATGCACGCCGTACCAGTTTCGCTTGCCAGAGCCTCCATAGTACTGGCCCCAACTTTTGCCATACACGCCGTAGCTGCAGCCCCAGCCTCCCTGCCCAAACCCTCCATAGTAGTGGCCCACACTGCCCTTGCCACGCGCTCCGTAGCCTTGGGCGCAGCCTCCCTGGCCTGAAGCTCTTTTGCCAAAGGCTCCATGGCATTGGGCCCAAACACCTTTGCCCCAGGAGCCTTTGCCTTGACCAGCCATGTCAGGCTTTGCCGCTACAACAGGCCACTCAGTTGGCAGCGGGAGCTTCAGCAGCAAGCTCTGCTTTCGGGGTGTCGGCAAGCTCTGGTTTGGCAGCTGGCGCTTCAGCCGCCAGATCTGCCTTCGGGGTGTCGGCAGCGAGCTCGTCAGGCTTTGCCTCGGCAGCTGGCTGCTCTGCTTTTGGGTCCTCTGCATCAGGCGTGGCCTCGGCAGCTGGCTCAGAATACCCAACAACGGCACTGCAGAGCTACCAACGAACAACCAACGACTGGAAATCCTTCCACCGCTCTTCCACACATTCATTGCCAGCGGCACTGGAGCTGCCACTGCCCTCTGGCTTGGCCTCCTCCTCCACTGCAACAGGCTTAAGATCTGCAGGCCTCAAGTCCCCAACCCCGAATTCAGGCCTTTGACATCGCGGCTGAGTCGTATAAATTGCAAAGGTATGGGGCTCTTGGTTCCGTATGCTTGACTTGCAGGGTTCTAGACATTCGCTCTTGCACTACTTGTTTGCACTGCCATGAGAGACTATGGAGGGAAGCCTTCTGACTGCAGACACTCTGGTCCCCCACCCCCTACTGCAAGCCTACTGCAAGGTAAGCAACGAATGCAGGCTTCGCCATGCCTTTTCACGTGGAGCTCGGCCCCACAGGTCTGAAGCCGCATGAGCCCCAAACCCTTCTTGCAAAGCTTGTGGTTCCACTTGGGTGCCTTGCTCAAATAGATACCGTCCCAGCGATCCACCATCATCCCCGATGTAGATA